CTTTTAATGATCTTAAAGGGATGAACTAGCTTTTTTTTCTACTGTTAAATACGGATTTCATTAATTAGCTTCTACTTTTTATCTAAATAAACTCAAATATTTTTAAAAATACTAATTTCAATAAACAAATATTGAAATAAGAAAACTTTTCCTCTTTAAATTTAGATTTAGTAATTTAATTCACTTGAAATTCAGTGATAATTATTACTCCTATTCTACCTTATAATACTGTAGTATTTACATCATTGGGACTAATGTCCTCATCTTTGTCGCCATATTTATCACAACGTTTCGGCCGTTGTACGCTCCGGCCTTCTTCAGGTGGTTGAAATGTCGAACTGAAACCTTTATTTTGCCCACTGGGGTAGACTGTTCTAGTTCCACGTGCCATGTTTAATGGATGTCAGTTATCATTTATCTCCAGTTAATTCCCCGCTTCAAGTCATCCACCGCCTTAAGGACACATGGCGCGGTGGATAAAGTTGTTAGATCCAGTAACAGGACCCAAAGGGTGTGAGTTCAATACCCGGTCTCTCTCTCGCTATATATAAATATGTATGTGCGTTTAAACAGGCCACATTCTATATATTATGCCTATTTATATATTCATACACACACACACACATATATATATATAAATATTTGATGTAAATTAAAGTTATATTTACATAACAAAAATATAAATTCCTATTTCTTCATATATGTATATATAGTTTTTTTTTTTTTTTTATGTGTGTGTGTGTGTGTGTGTGTGTGTTTGTATATATATATATATATATATATATATATATATATATGTGTGTTTATATATATGTGTGTGTGTGTAACAAGATAAAGAAGAATTATGAAACGCTTATCTGTGTAACATGTTTCGTTTTTTATTAATGCATCATAGGAGATTGAGAACATTTTGGTAATTATATCTATTAAATATGAGATGTCAGTTTTATTTTCATCTTTTTTTTGTGCGTAACGTAGACGACAATTTATACATCGCACCCTATATATATATATATATATATATATATATATATATATATATATATATATATATATTAGTGTAACTTTCAAACATTAAAGCATTGAATAATTATTATAACCAAAGTTCGTTGTCAAGGTTTTGAATTCTCAGTCAGACAGTATTTTTTTTTATCTAAGCTAATAATACTATCTTTAAGGTTTCCACCAGTTTTAATTAGTTGTATTGTAATTAGTTATACTGGAATGTCTCAATATATATATATATATATATATATATATATATATATATATATATATATATATATATATATACAGATATATATATATATATACAATTTATAAGAAGTTAGCCATCTTTTTAAAAAAAAATTTTTGCATTTATATTTCTTTACAACACAACCTGTTTCCTCTTTAAGGGAAAGATGTCAATGGGCGGATATTAATTATATAGATCGATCATTATCCACTTAAAATTTAAGATCAAATTTCAGTTAATAATTACGTGTCAAGCTGTGGGCTTATCGAGCAGCCCACCCTCCCACCGATTAATCGAACGATTATAAAAAGGTTCGTCTCTGAAAATTTGGATTGGATGTGTTGAATATAACATCAATCAGCTGACAAATTTGATATTCTATTAATCATATATATATATATATATATATATATATATATATATATATATGTATATGTGTATGTGTGTGTGTGTGTGTGTGTGTGTGTAATGTGGATGTATACGGCCCCTCTGTGTGTGAGTATTTTATACGATGAACTAAGACAACATTTTCTCATTTGCAATTTAGAAAATATGAAACACACAGAGACACATTATTTACTAAACCTAATTTTGTTTTACGTATTCAAACTAAGACACACATTTTTTTTTTCATTTGCAATTCGGAAAAAGAGCGAAACACACGGAGATTTATTCCATAATTCCGCTGGACCTGTGGGTCCCAGTTGGTTCCTACAAACTAAGACACACATTGCCCTTTTTGTCATTTGCAATCCGGAAAAGAGCGAAACACACAGAGACATACACATAATTCCGCTGAACCTGTTGTCCCAATTGGTTCTTATAAACTAAGACACACATTGCCCTTTTTCTTGCGGTCTTGTCATTTTCATTAAAACACAGGCATCTATAAGAATCACTATTAACATCAATTTGAAAAGGGAAACGAAAGTTAATCAAGAAAAAAATTAATTATATCTTCAATATTTTTTCTTTGACATGCTAAGAAGTGTATTGACATCTCTTAATGGATGCGATAAACCGTGGAATTGTAACAGAACTGTGGAACGCGATTTTTTGTCCTTCCATAGCAATTATTATTTCCTATTTGCTTACGATATTCAGTCACCCCACCCACGAGTCAAAGTGTTTTCAAGGCCTTTTAAACGTGGGCATTCCGAGCCCGTGGGCTATATAAAAAAATATGCCCGTTTAAACCCGTATAAAAATCAAGGCCGGTTTACTTCCCCGAAGGAGACTCCGCCCTTCGGCGGAGCCTCGTTCGGGTTCCTCCCGTCCGTAGGAAGAGAGTTCAACCGAACAGTCGGTTCAAAAGTGAACGACTGACTATTTCCTATTTACTTACTCTTACAAAGTATGAAAAATGGCTAATATTTCCTTCAAACTTTGCGTTTTTGACCAGGATAATGATATCTCTGAAATTTCCCTATTCCCATTAGGAAATCTGGCGAATGGGAACATTCTCGTTCACTCAAAGTAGGAACAAAACGACATATGATTCAAAATTAGCATTTATTTATTTATTTTAGGATTACAGAAGGAGACCACAAAAACATTTAGAAGTGACTAGTTTTTCGTGATTTACGCTTATAATATAAATTACTTTTACGAATCCCCCCTCAAAATATAGACCCCCGTCATGTTTTCGTTATACGATTCTTGATGGCCAGAATGTTTTGGAAATTGTTGACAAATTTAGAAGTTTCTCGAATGTTCTTGAAACTTCTAGAAAGTTCTAGAAAATTCTCCATCAGCAACTCAGCACTGAATCTAGAATTTAATGGAAAATAGGCTAGTTTCAAAACAGCGATGGTCCTGGGTATGACGATAAAGTACATCCGGCAGTAAGGGAGATTAGAGGTTTTGAGGAGAGTGGAACCACATCTCAACAGCTGTTGTTCGCAGGAGATTGATATGCCGCGAAAGAAAATGAATAACAATACAGTTTTATCTGTAGGTGAAACGATCAAATTGTGTTCAAAATATTTAAATTTCGGCATTAAATAACCCATAGAAATGTTGATATGCCGCTAAACAAAATGACCAACAATGCATTTTATCTGTAGTTGAAGGCATACAATTGCGTTCAAAATATATTTAGTTGAGGCCATAAAATTGTGTTCAAAATATTTAGATTTCGGCATTAAATAACCCATAGAGATGTTGATATGCCGCTAAACAAACTGACCAAGAATATATTTTTCATTTGTAATTGAGGGCCTAGAATTGCGTTCAAAATATATTTAGTTGTGAGCTATAAAATTGTGTTCAAAATATTTCGATTTCGGCACTAAATAACCCATAGAGATGTTGATATGCCGCTAAACAAAATGACGAAGAATACATTTTTATCTGTATTTGAATTCATAAAATTGTGTTCAAAATATTTAGATTTCGGCATTAAATAACCCATAGAGATGTTGATATGCCGCTAAACAAAATGACCAACAATGCATTTTATCTGTAGTTGAAGGCATACAATTGCATTCAAAATATTTAGATTTCGGCACTAAATAACCCATAGAGATATTGATAACCAAATATAAGTTATTCAGCCAATCAAAACATCGATGTCCAGGTCCCAAAAGAAAAGTTTAACGGGACTAATAACTATTTCCTTTGCTTTCTACTCAGCAGCAATTACGAAGTACTGACCAAAGATAAAGAAAAATATATATATATATATAAAAAATTGTTTTTATACAGTTTTATGGGACAACTGCTAGTAAGAAAAACGTTTAATATTATCACGAGGCAGTCTGTCTGATTTGGTGCGATTTCGGCCATTCTTTTATTTGCGATGCGAAACTTTATGCCACCTACTGCAATTCTAAGACCGTCACCTGTGTAGGCACACGGAAAGTTGCCTGGAAACGATATTGCACATCCGATCTCACCGCACACAGATTTAAATAAACACGGAGAGAAAGAACGTTCCTTTTGTATTGTCCTTTCTTTTTCTGGTCTCATAAAGACTCCATCCTCCTACAGAAGTGCATGCGTTATTCGAAATATGAATTAATGTCTTCGTTTTAGATTGTCTTCGTGACGACAAAAGGAAATAATACTAGAATCATACAAACATACATACACGCACTCTCTCTCTCTCTCTCACACACACACACATATATATATATATACATATATATATATATATATATATATATATATATATATATATATGTGTGTTTGTTTGTGTGTTTGTGTGTGTGTGTGTGTTCATGCGTATATTTTACAAGTCATTTATTTCCGTTTGCGCATGCGCCTTACATTGATCCTTGCTTCGGGCGAAGTTTTTTTTTTTTTTTTTTTTTTTTAACTCCGCCATTTTCCTTTTCTCGTTTATTAATATTTTTCTTTCCTTTGTTACTTTATTTATCACTCCCGCCATCAGCCCACTTTCTCTTTCTCTCTCTTTCTCTCAAACTGTCTCCTTCATTCATTCCTTCTCTCATTGATTCCCTTCTACACTCTTACGCTCTCCATAATTCTTTCCCTCTCTCTCTCTCACGCTCACTTTCTCTCTCTCTCTCTCTCTTTCTTCCCCCCCTTTCTCTCAGTTTATTCTCCCTTATTCATTTTTAAAGGCATTTACACACGGATGTCGCAATTGACGAAAAAGCAAAGCGTATTTCGTTTTTTCTTACTTTTTTTTTTATCATTTTCATGTACGATTTTCCATCGTTTCTATCACGATTGTAATCTCTTTTTTTTCCTTTTTGACATTTTTCTATTTCGCCTTTAATTTCTTTACATTTCTTTTATGTTTAATTTCTTTCTTTCCTTCCTTCCTTCCTTCCTTCCTTCCTTCCTTCTTTCTTTCTTTCTTTCTTTCTTTCTTTCTTTCTTTCTTTTGCATGTTTTCTTTTCCCCTCCGTTCTTTCTATTACTTGTTTGCTTCTTTCTTTCACTGCTTTCTTCTTTTCTTTTTTTTTCTTCCATGTTTTTTCTCTTCTTTGATTCCTTCTATCTTCCTTTCTTTCCGTTGTAAGTTGCTTCTTCTAGTTTTTCTTCTTTCTTTCTTTCTTTATATATTTCTTTCTTTCTTTCTTTCTCTTTGTTTCAAGTTTCTTCCTTTTCTTTTCTATTTCATTATTTTTTCCTTTCCTTCTGTAGTAAGTTGCTTATTCGTTCTTTCTTTATTTCTTTCTTTCTTTCTTTCTCTTTGTTTCAAGTTTCTTCCTTTTCTTTTCTATTTCATTATTTTTTCCTTTCCTTCTGTAGTAAGTTGCTTATTCGTTCTTTCTTTCTTTCTTTCTTTCTTTTTTTTCTCTTTGTTTCAAGTTTCTTTTTTTTCTTTTCTATTTCATTATTTTTTTCCCTTCCTTCTTCTGTAGTAAGTTGCTTATTCGTTCTTTCTTTATTTTTTCTTTCTTTCTTTTCTTTTTTTCAAACCTTTCTTTTCTATTTCATTTTTTTTTTCTTTCCTTTCAAGTTTCTTATTCGTTTCTTTCTTTCTTTCTTTTCTTTCTTTCTTTCTTATTTCTTTTATTTTTTCTTTCTTTTTTTTAAATGCCTGTAGGCATTTAAAATTTACAATGTGTGTTTTTCTTTCTTTTTTCTTAAATTTCTTTCTTTCTTTTTTCTTTCTTTTTTTTCTTTCTTTCTTTCTTTCTTTTCTTTTTATTTAAACTTTTATTTTTCCTTTTCTTTTCTATTTCATTATTTTTTCCTTTCCTTCTTTAAGTTCTTTTATTTTTTCTTTCTTTCTTTTTTTCTTTTTTTCTTTATTTTTTTCTTTCTATTCACAATGTGTGTTCTTTCTTTCTTTTTTCTAATTTGCTTGATTTCATTTCTTTCTTTCTATTTACATCTTGTGTTTTTTTTTTTAAAGAATTTTCTTGTATATGAGATCTTTTTTTTTTTTTCTTTTTTTTTTATTTTCTTTTTTCTTTTTTTTTCTTTCTTTCTTTCTTTCTTTGTTTCAATTTTCTTCCTTTTCTTTTCTATTTCATTATTTTTTCCTTTCCTTCTGTAGTAAGTTGCTTATTTCTTTTTTCTTTCTTTCTTTTCTTTCTTTTCTTTCTTTTTTCTTTCTTTTTACATGTTTTTTTTTTCTTTTTTTCTTCTACTTTTTTTGCTTCTTTCTTTCCCTGCTTTCTTCCTTTCTTTTTCTTTCTTCCATGTTTTGTTCGCTTCTTTAATTCCTTCTTTCTTCCTTTCTTTCTGTTGTAGGTTGCTTCTAGTCTTTCTTATTTTTAACTTTCTTTCTTTTTTCTTTCTTTCTTTCTCTTTCGTTTCAGGTATCTTTCTTCTTCTATTTCATTCTTTCTCTTTTCCTTCTGTAGTATGTTGCTTATGCGTCTGTTTGTTTTTCTTTCTTTCTTTCTTTCCTTTTTTTCTTTCTTTCTTTCATTCTTTCTTTCACCTCAGGTCTTTTACCTTTCTCCTTCTTGTTGCCAATCTAGTAGTGAAATGTGAAAAATACGCAGATGTAGGATTTAAGAGTGCTTTATTCCCCTGAGAATATAAGGTTCGTGTAGAGTGTCCTTTTATAGTCCCAGTAAACATATATAAAGTCAAATGGGGAGAGTGACACAACAAGGCGTGACTACAGTTGATTATTCATAACAAATGGTACGCTTAAATCTACGCCGTCTAGATACCAAGGTGGAAAGCTCATTAGAATAATTGCCATGAAAACATTTATACAAAACACAACGCGAAGCCACTTCAGGGAGGTGCGTAAGGGAGTGAAGCCAAGATGTCAGACCGAGACCGATAACATTGCAGATCCATCTTTGCCTTTGCCTATTGTCGAGAATCTCGATATATTACTGGCGCACGTTCGAATCTCCCTGGTCGATTTGGTTCGAATCCCTGTGGTCGCTTTCGTTCGAATCCCCGCGGTCGATTTGGTTCTAACCAACGTGATTGATTTGGTTCTAATCCCCGTGTTCAATTTGGTTCGCATCCTTGTGGCTGATTTGTTTCTAAACCCCGTGGTCGATTTGGTTCTCACCAACGTGGTCGATTTGTTTCTAATCACCATGATAGATTTGGTTTGAATCCCCGTGGTCGATTTGTTTCGAACCCCCGTGGTCGATTTCGTTCTAATCTCCGTGGTCGATTTCGTTCTAATCAACGTGGGCGATTTGGTTCTAACCAACGTGATAGATTTGGTTCTTATCCCCGTGTTAAATTTGGTTCTAATCCCCATGTTCGATTTGGTTCGAATCCCAGTGGACGATTTGATTCTAATCACCGTGGTGGATTTGTTTCGAATCCCCATGGTCGATTTGTTTCTAATCACCGTGGTGGATTTGTTTCGAATCCCCATGGTCGATTTGTTTCTAATCACCGTGGTGGATTTGTTTTGAATCCGCGTGGTCGATTTGGTTCTAATCACCGTGGTAGATTTGGTTCGAATCCCCGTGTTCGACTTGGTTCGAATCCCCGTGTTCGATTTGGTTTGAAACCCCGTGGTCGATTTGGTTCGAATCCCCATGTTTGATTTGGTTCTAATCACCGTGATCGATTTAGTTCTAATCACCCTGTTCGATTTGTCAGGATGGTAACTTCTTGATGCTACCTGTCTGGAGGAGACAATCCCAGCGTGCGGCACCTTTGGAATGTCTCCGAAGACCATACCCACCGGTTGACCCAATCCTTGTGAGTGAAATTGGGTAGACGGAACACTTTGGAAGCCGTCGCTGGTTGCGCTAGTCACAAATCATCGAGACCGAGAGTTTGAGCAGCATAAACCACACGGCTCTGGTGAACAAACACAAATGTGCCTACAATGGGGATTAGCTAGCCGCCCTAGTAGACTGGTATCCATTTACATTATAACTGGAGCACCAGACCAGATCTGGCAGCAATATTCAGTGGTCTGGAAAAATTGTCTGAACCAAATTTTCTAGCAGGAGTCCTGTGTATTGATTCAATATGATCACTCCACTTCACGTCAGTGGAAGAAGGCAATAAAATAGTTGTTCCCTTGGTGGTTAGCATCAGCCATATGGAAGACATAAAAAATGATGGAGACATAAAAAAAGATGGAAGACATAAAAAGTTCTCGATGGTGATTTAAGGATTTCAGTTCCGTACTGAGATTGTTAAACTCTACAATTTCAGGTATCAAAGTGAAGTTCATGCAACACAAGGCAGAAGAGCGACTCAAGGTAGACTGATACTTAATGAGGTTACAGTTAGGGTTCTACGTGGAAAGAGGGCGAAGTGAATATGATGAGGATAGATCAGAATTGACGCTTGATTTGAATAGGTTAAGATTATAGTGTTCAGGTAAACGCTCACATGAGAGACTGTTCCACGAAGAAGCAGTTCTTGGAAAAAGGTTAGAAGTGATTTCAGATTCTTGAAAAAAAAAGCAACACTTGTTTTGATTGTACACTATTTGCATTATTCGGACTATTGTCCTCATCTTTGTCGCCATATTTATTACAAAGTTTCGGCCCTTGTACGCTCCGGCCTTTCTAAAAATGTGGTTGGAATGTCGAACTGATATATTTATTTCGCTCACTGGGGTAGACTGTTCTAGTTCCACGTGCCATGTCTAATAGATGTATATATATATATAGATATATAATTAATTCCCCTCTCAAGTTCTCCACCGCCTTAACCAGGTATTGAATTGATTCATTTATTTGGTTCCTGGATAATCTTATGTTTTTGAGAGCTTAAATGATTTACAAAGGAGGCCACATATGGAGCAAGAATGAGGATTGTGAGATGAGATCATTGTTAGATTTGCTGACCTTTTAAATCTCGCTCTCGTTTCTTGAAGACGATTCAGACATGCTGATTGAAAATTGCTGAGTCCACTAAAACACGTTGATCTCCATTCTACCCCCTCCAACGCTAAGCGCTCAAGGGTGTTATGTGGTATATTGACTGCTGACAAGTTGCTTTTCAGCTTGTCTTTGTATCTTAGCCATGGGCGTCCTACATTCCTGTAGCCCTGATCTAACTGGCTGTACATTAGGATCTTGGGTATCCTATTATCAGACATTCTCAAGACATGACCAGTCCACCGTAACTGAGACTGTATGAGAAAAGTCTTGATTCCTCCAATATTACACCTGTTAAACAGGTCTACGTTAGATCTCCTATCTTGAAGTTTAACTCCGTAGATTACACGCAGACAGCTTTTATGGAAAACATCCAGATGCCGTATATGGTACCTGTATGGAGCCAACGACCCTGGGCCGTACAAAAGGATGGCAAGTACAACAGCTCTGTAAACCCGAATTTTCGTATCCAGTCGAATACCCCGCTCATTCCACAAGCGATGGCGAAGTTTGCCGAAATCACTGGTAGCCTTAGCAATCCGATGCATGATTCCATCATCTAAAGTTCCACTGTAGTTGACTTTGCTACCAAGATAGGTGAAAGATTTTACACAGTTCAGGGCTTTGTCTTCTACTTTCAATGGTCTCTCTGGAAATTTGTAGACTGGTGGTTTGTTGTTTCTCACCACAGAATTGCTTCGGAATAGGACACAAGGTTATGCATTTATTTCAGTTTTCTTTATACTTTTTTTAAGACCAAAGGCTTTACATGATAAAGAACACGATTTATTAGATGTTTGGGCCTCCTCAAAGGATCTCGCAACAAAAGCATCATCATCAGGAAACAACAAATCACGAATAATTTTTGTACGAAGGTGGATATATAAAACACACACACACACACACACACACACACATATATATATATATATATATATATATATATATATATATATATATATATATATATATATAATATTTTTATTTATTGAAAAAGCGCTCACTATCAGTGATAGGGCTAATATATTCAGTTGGATTGATGTGAGTTTGTGACCCTGGGTTTCATTCTTTGCGATCGTCAGACAACTGATTAATTTTTGAATTTTGGATTTATATATGGTTGCGTATATCGGCGTTTTTATGGAAGTGAGAAAAAAATTGTCGTCGGAACGCCATTCACAAACGCAGACATTAAAATACGCATCGTGAACGCATTACAATTTAATTTAAAACAAACGTAAAAAATATATCGTGGGACTGGGAATATTTTCAGTGATTTTCAAAAAATTTTAAGAATAATGGCACAAGGCCGAAAAGTAAAAAAATTAAACAAAATGAATATTTAATATTTCTGAAAAGACAATTTTTAAATTACACCACCTCGAGGTGAACTTAATTAAGCGTATATGCGTATATACATAATTTTTTGTGTACATATGTAATTTTTTTGGAAATAGCGAATTTCTTTTATGTCGCAATGTCAACGCACCATTTCTCTTATTTTTTTTCGGAATAATGTTTTGAAAAGTTTTTAATATTATATATATAAATATATATGTATGCACGCGCATTCACACATTTTTATCCGCCTTTGTTTTTGTTCTTTAATCTTAAAATGGGGTCTTTTGTAAGACTATGGTAGGTAAAATTGTTATTATTTTTAAATTTTTAATTCTGTTTTGTTATTATTTTAAAGCCGGTTATTTGCTTGTTTTTAAAATAATTATTGGCTTTTTAAAAAAAGAACCTCCAATTAAAATACTTATTGCTATTTATTTGGTGGTATTAATTTTGCTAGAGGAGGAAGTTATATTTTGGGCTGATGCGGTAATGGTCAAAATGGTGCGGTAGTTATTTTGTTACTTATGCGGCAAGGGTAATTTGATGCGGCAGTAATACAAACAAAAGCGGATGATGATAATGACAATTCATTAGCAGCAAAAAAGTTATGGTAAAATATAGAAGTGATTGTTAAAAGTGGTGGAATTGGAATAAGAATAATTATAATTATTATGATGGTAGTTTGAATTAGAAAATAATTGATGGTGTTATGGTGCCAGTGGTTTCTCGTTTTGGTATTCTTAGGGTTAATGGTGGTATGAAGCAGTGTTGTTTTGTATTTTTTTATCTGTTTAGTATAAAATGTGATAATAGGTATTTGTTTTTATGTCTGCATTTAGAAATTATTTCTGATCTTATGTTTAGTAATTTCTTTTGTTGGGTGTGGGAAATTATTGCTACCTTTTCGTGTAGGCAAAGTAGGCATTTCTTTGTTACGTTCTTGTAGGCGGGTGCGTTTTTCAATATTTTCCAGTTTATTCTTGGTGTAATATTTCTGTCTTTTAGTTGCCATATATATGTGGATAGTATAGTGCTGTTTTGAGTATTTTCTGTATAAACGTTCTACATTGACGATAAATAAAAAAATACAAAATTTAAAAATAAAAATTAAAAAGTAATTACAATAATGGATAAAATATTTTAAAACTTTTTAAAATTCATATTCGGTATCGTAGACTGGTCTAAGTTTAGTGGCTGCTAGCCTAGATGCTATTGTCCTCTCGTTTGCCCCTCCGCCAATTGGCCTATGGCTTGTCTGAACTTTAGGCTTTAGAATCATTTGTTTTTTCATTTTTAAATCATTTGTTTTTTCTCTTTTATCTTAATGTTTGTAAACTACATTTCTTGTTTATTCAAACGTTTTTGCTTGTAAGAAACCTACATATGCAAAAATAAGGATGAGTTTTAGGAAAATAAGGGTGAGTATTAAGAAAATAAGGGTGAGTACAAGGAAAATAAGGGTGAGTATTATAAAATTATTTTTTATATTAGGAAAATAACAAATATTTTAGGAAAATAATGTATATTAGGAAATAAAATCATATTTACCATTAAAATAAGGGGTGAGAACCAGGAAAATCTTTGAGTATGGTATAAAATAAGGGTGAGTATTAGGAAAATAAGGGTGTGTACCAGGAAAATAAGGGTGAGTATTAGGAAAATAAGGGTGAGTATCAGGAAAATAAGGGTATTTTATTATTAAAATTTTCCAAATACCAGGAAAATAAAGGGTGATAAAAGGAAAATAAGGGTGTTTATTAGGAAATCCCAATAAGTATTAGGAAAATAAGTATTATATAAGAATATATTAGTAAATACTAATATATGTACAACAGATCCAAGCAAGAAAATAAGTTAATCATATACTACACTAAATCTAGTATATCCAACTTAATTATTCGCAATGATTATTCTTCTCGCGTTAGCGATTTACTAAAAAACCAACATAGTTTACAAATTCAAGTGTCCTTTGATTAGATTAAATAATATTTATGTTGGTCACACCACAAACTCGCTTTCACGAAGCTTGAATCTACATTTGAATGATAACTCTAACATTTTTAGGCATTTAAAACAACATGCCTGGCCGCGTACTCAATTCCGTAAAATCCTCGTTGAAAACACAACTATACTTAAACATGAAAACAATAAACAAAAACTAAAAATTCTTGAAGCTATATACATAAAACAGTTGAAACCTAACCTGAACAAAATAAACTATGAAATCTTCACAAATCTTCTTAAATGCCTATAATTTATAAGAGAAGCCATTGGTTTATACCAACGGCTTCTCATACTTAATACTTCTCATTTTCACTCTCGCGTGGTCATGTGTGACGTCATGAGCTGCAACGTG